ACTCTGGGGAGACCCCAGACACAATGCATGAACACGTGCCACAGCCTCGCGCGCCAAAGGAGCGGGCAAGCGCTCTGAAGGGTGTCGTAAGTGTAGTTGTTGAATGGGAAGGCAACCGTTCAGAGGTTTGTATGTAGATGAGAAGCGAGTGCACGGTGCACCAAACGGCCACATGCCCCAGCAAGGCGGCAGCACTTGCACGGCAGGATCCATCGAAACCTGCATGGCATTGTAGCCCTCTCTTTTGCAGCTTGTGTGGGTCTTTCTTTGTCCGAGTTCTGTTGGTGTGTTTTGTTTCTGGTGTTTTGCCTTGCGCACGACAGAAAGGGCTGCGAAAGGCGCTGCGGAAGGGGAGTTTCTGGGGAGAAAGACTTTGGGATAAGACTCAGTTGGAAAATGTTGGAAATCATATCGTGTGGGCTGCACGCGCAACACCAGCAACGTCCAGTGACCGGTAGCCTCTAGCAACCTCCAAGCGAGGTGCCTTGTCCCTAGTGGCAGGCCTGGCCGAGGGACAAGCGGCACACCGAACTAGCATTGATGCCACAAGCTTGACTCGACTAGACTTCCTCTCCTCTGAGAATGAGACTTCCCTTTCCCTGCAGACTGGCGGAGAGCTGCAGGGGACGCATAAAGCGACTTATTCAAAATACGTACACGAAAGACATGTCTGGATACGCACGAAGGAGGATCTGGACTGTAGTCTTACAGTAAGCTTGGTGGCTCAAACGTCGTATCCATTTGTCACCTGCCCATTTTTCGAGATCATCCAAGATGCCAGAGAACAGGACCGATGCATTTCGTGTTTTGAATTCAGGCACAGGGAGAATTGTTTTTGAAAGCAACAATTTGGTCCTCGTTCGTCTCACATGCTCGTGATGAAAGCACCGTTTCGACCTTGGCCACACTGATTGTGAACTCGTTCTGCACTGTTGCCCCCGGAAGGTGTACGTTCCGTAGTTCGAGAGAACCACCCACATCTGTGCAGAGCACCAAGGTTAATGACCAGTTTCAATGAGCATCCGGACTCCAAACTTGGCTTGGTCTCAGGTCGGACGACTGGGTCAACTGGCTTCGCGCGAATAGCAACACTCATACTATTGGACCGCCGGAAACCCGAGCTGGTGCGTAGCTCTCGCTGGCAGTCTGTAGCGGCTCTCGGACACATGCAGTCTCACTTTGTTTTTTGTGACGTGAGAAGAATCTCGCGGTTTGCATGTAACTGGAGCACTATGTTCCTTCCTGCGCCCTTTGTTTGCACTTCGTCCGGGAATCTCAGAATGCATTTGCCCTAGTTGAATTCCCCCTTGAACTCCCCAACATCTTGCTCCACATTCGGTTCTTAATTCGCGAAGAGGAAGCGGGGCATGGATGGCAAAGAATGGCTGCCGCATGCTCCGAAGCGCGAGTATAGCGCATGCCGAACCTGTGGCAGATGGTTCTGCCCTGCTCCCTTTGTTTGGATCAGCAGCCGTTAAGGCCGGAGTGATCAAAGGTGAGGCAGCTCAATGATTGTGAAGCTGTGCACCCCTCGCTCGCAGCAGCCTTCTCCAGCAGAGGCAGTGCTGGTGCAGCAAGACATAAAGGGGGTAGTAACATTTTCTGCAGGATGCCAGACCGCCGTGGCGGCCAGCCCACTGCCCAGAACGTGCAAATCTATGCCAGCCGCGCGCCGCGACCACGAAGTGCTGTGAGGACAAGCGCCTCATCTCAGCCCAATGTTCTTGAGCCTGTCACGGTGGAGGAGTGCGTGTGGTCCTTTAGAGTACAGGCGCCGAGTCGCATAAGCTTCAATCTCCGCACGAACAGCTGCTGAGGCGCTGACTTTCATCATGGATTTTGAGGTCGGAGAAGCGTGGTGCTGCAGCTGGCTGTGCACAGATGCGCAAGCACACTGGCATGGTGAGGCGCGCAGCTTGAGTGCGCACTGTGTGCTGGTGCTGGTCGGAGAAGAGGTGCGGCCCGCACTGAAATGGACATGACATTGCGGGCAAACCTTGAATGAAATTGACTGATTTCTGGTTTCCTGTGATTTCACACGCTCTGAGCACCGAACGAAGAGGCTGCGCCTGAGGTTTGCTTGCACATCAATGAGCTCCGACCCAAGGTGTTTCAGACGACTTCGCATCAGTTGGCAGCCTGCACCTTCCCTAAGGTGCCTTCAGATTCATGATGTCCATGTAGAGGGCACAGACTTGAGGACCCGTGCAGCTTGAGCAAGAGGGCCGAATGCACCGCCTCTTAATGGCAGGCTGGACTTCGTCCTGGAAAAGTGCCTTCCCACCGGCCTTGCTGCTCTCGAGGGTTCACAGATGATGAGGGTCCATGCCTATGCCAGTGCACGGAATCAGTAGGTCGTGTTTGTTTCAGCATTGAAAGCAAAACCAACATCCAAGGTTATGCTGCCACAAGAAGCGTGGACATCCGGAGAATTTTGCAGCATAAAGTTGGAGGCTCCGGCTGGATGTCTGAGCTCACCTGTTCATGGCTCCTTGTCGCCTGACAGCAGGTCAAGTACAGAGTTCTTCCTGGCTCGACTGCTTTGTCGCAATCCTACTGAACATGGCTAGCTTTGTCATGCAACCTTGCCCAAAGACTATTCAAGGATATGGATGGATGGCAGCGACCACGACGACGACCCACAGATGGCCATGACGCAGGATGTTCAGTCACCACCAATTTTTTGGGGGTCCCTATAGGAGCTGGCTTTGACTTCGAATTCCGTGAGAAAGTTTTCGGCTGTACACTCGCATCCGCATAAACCAGTATCTTGGGTCGTTTTGCTTCCTCGTTTTCGAGCGCGTCCTTCAGCCCAGTGCGAAGGTTTTGTTTGTTTGTGTGTGTGTGGGACCGTTTACGGCGGTTTGAGAATACTCGGACGTCACATTGTCGGCATCGGGCAGAGGTCCTTGTGCTTTTTGATCCACGGTGTCAGCTGTTAACGGCAGGGCAAGAAGCACCAAACTCGATCAGGCTCGAAGCCATTCTAGTAGACTATGCGAGACTAGTGTCACTAGAGCATGTGTTTTGGATATGTGAGGAGCACTTGCCCTCAGCACGAGCTGCAAACCTCCCTAGACAAAAACTACTTCGGATCAGCTGTGATCCAATGAAATTCCATGTGGAATTGCGCCCCATGTAAAAGTGTCCTTGCACGCCGTGAATACATTAAGCAGAAGAGATCGCGCCCGGTGGCGCGGTGCCCGTTGCAGGACCAGCCTGGCTGGGCGAGCGCACTCTTCCCGTGTTCGGGCCTCACGGATCAGCAACTTATCAACACCAAAATATAGCCGTCACTGATTTGACTTATGCGCGGTTCGGCATACATCGACATGAGATGACATGAGCATAGGTTTGGTTCGGACATGCCGCAGCTTTAGCTGGGGCGTGCAAATCTCGTGAACATTCGTGAACCTGAACGCAGGGCTCAGAGTTCGACAAGGATTCATGCACTTCAGTATGCAGCGGGATGCCGGGTGCTGGTCCGATGGCTATTCATTTGCGACTTGCTGCTACGGGCAGCACCGGCACTGTTTCGATGAGAGGTTCTCGTTTGAAAGATGCTGCCTGGTTCCAACCGCCGAACTCCGGCACGAGCTGGATCAGTTTCGCAAAGCCTGGTTGCCGCCTTCGGCCACTTATGCCTTTGAACGCATGTGCCATGGTGGCACATTCTCCGCTCATCGACCACGGGCCACACGAAGGCGGAGTAGTTTACCGCGTCGCAAGATGCTTGCTGTCCATGAACGTGCCACCAACTACTTGAAGCAGTTGTGCAAACCCTTGAAAGAATCCGTTGACTTGTCTGAGAAGCTCTTACCAACCATTGCCAAGCTGCTGGTTCATTACGCTGCCCGCGTGACCTTACACGACACCAGGTCACTAGCATGGGGACTTCCGCCAGAACGTGTGGCAACTCCAGCGGCCAAGTGGCTCTCAAAGCAGGAAGCTCGAGCTTGGCGGCGGCTACGTCATTCGATAGATTTGGCTCGGGGTGGGCAGTATGAGATTTGTTCATGTGCAGGCCAAGGTTACGACATGCTGCTTGCTGCCCGCGACAATGTCAAACGGCTCTGGCTGCACCATCCACTTTTCTTGGAATCACTTGTGGACCCGAGTCAGCAAGCACACCACTTGTCTGTGATGCAATCGTGTGTCGATTCTGAGGAGATGCTGCTGGCATTGTCCAACTTGAAGGGGACCCTGTCCAAGACAAATTGTGCAGCTGGCGATGTGGCAATGAACATTGCCATTGCGCAGGCTTGCTTGGTTCAGAGGCAGTGGGCAAGAGCCCTGGAGCTCTATCTCCTCTCATTTGCACTGCTTGTAGCAGCACCTTGGGCTGATTGCTTAGATCAGCAGGTTTGGGATGTGTCGGCAGAAGACGTGGTCTACAACGCAGCCCGCATCGTGGGGCTGATGTGGACCCCTGTCGGTGATGATGCCCTGTTAGCGCCGGCAGAAGCTGTGAGCAGACTTGGTTGGAGACCTCGCCCGCACAGAGCAGACGGGCTTTTGTTTGCGCGGCTGTTGCCCTGGAGCCGAAGGCAGTGCAGGGGTCCAAGGACACTTTCGGGGGCTTGCCTCGGTTTCGGAAAGATCCATGTTCTATCTCAAGACTTTGAAGGTGCTTCTGCTGCATTGTGCTCCGAGTTCGGTGCATTTCACAGCACCGAGTGGGTAAATGTATTGCCAGAAGAGCAATTTCCGATTGGTCGTGGTGCATCTGGCGAGCTGTTTATTGTTCCGGTTGGAACGCCTTACCCGAATTTGTGGCATGCACTTCATTGGTGGGTACCTGCGTTGGTGCACAAACAAGAACAGGGCTGGGACCCGTCCAAAATACACGTGGGGGTTGTTTTTGACAGCAGACCAAGACATGGACAGCGATGGGAAGTGGAAATGCCCGGCAGTGACACCGAAAGGTTCGCCTCCTTCCATGGAGTGATCTTACGACTGTTGTCGAGCAATCCCGTGCGTTTCGTCGCGCACGAGGGAAACATGTCGTGCTTTGCAGAAGCCTCGGTTGGATTTCGCTCCTTCCGGTATGACCTGGTTACCCCGCAGGTCACACGCCAAGATGTCGAAGTGTTTCGTAGAGCCTTGCGCTCTGCTGTCGGTCTGGACAGAAGACTGCTGAACCCGCAAAGTGGATCCTTCCCGCGTGTGCTCATCATACAGCGGGAGACGGGGCAGCCACGTTACATCGTGAACTTGGGCCACATGCTCAGGGTCCTTCGTCGAAGCCATGGTTTTGTCACGGACTGGCAGCAACTGGAAAAGCACGACCTCTTGGAGCAGTTCTCCTTGGTTGCACAGGCCGCAATGCTTCAGTTAGCCTCGGGCACCCAGTTCTAAAGCAATCTTGTCAGACAAAATGATGGGTTGAGATCCCAACAAGTATAACTATACCTATAGCCTAAATTGACGCACACTTACCTTGTGCGTTTCTGCCGTCACTGCGAGAATGCCCGTGACTGCGCAGATGCAAGAGTCCACCCCGAGCCAGGCAGACTAAGTTGTTGGGCGTTGAGGTGCTCCATGTTTGCATAACGCATGATGCAAAAGCCTACTTCATTGTGCATGTTGGTGCTTCAGATTCGTCAGGCTACACGTGGGACCACTAACAGCGATAAAGATGGCGCGTGACCCTGCGGTGACTCCACATTTTCAAAGCCCCACGACACGAGGTGGGTTTGGCTCTGTTTGTTTGAGTCGATTCTAACTTCTCAATATTGGTCCATAAGAGGGGTAATGTGGAGCTCCTTTTCTATGGCTTCTCTTTGGCAAGGCTGTGCCAGTGCCTCTTTTGTTTTTGTGTTGGGCCGCCAGTTCCAGCACCCAGTGTACGATGCCGATGAGTGGGCATGCACGTGCTTCATGTGGTTCTCTCAGTGTGTCAAGTGGATTCACGTGGATCGTGGCAGTAGCATGTTTCAGCAGCAAAAGATGGAGATTGGCAACCTTCGCCCTTGAGTTGCCCTTGAAGAGTCTTGAGAGATGGAGCCGGGTTGGGCAGGCCCCTTTTCAGATAAGTCCGTTGTTGCTTTTGGTTTCGGTTCGGTTGCGTGTGGCACACGCTCTCTCAGACCGACGTCCTCGTTGGGGCCCACGGAGCTGGTCTCGCTTGGATGGTGGGCATGGAAGCGGGTCCTTCAGCTCAGCTTATGCTAGGCCTGCTAGGCTTCTCAGACACTTTAGGCTTTGGTACCAGTAGCATGTAAATATGCTGGAAACTTCTCCTGCTTAGGAGCTTGCTTTGGGAGCGAGATGAAATGCACCATTTCCAGTAGGCTGCTAGGCTTTCGACACGGGTGTGGCTGCCCAAAGTGTCATACGTTCATAGGATTGGGTTCACTCCATGAGACCACGTAAAAGACTTGAGAAAATGACTGTTTCTCCTGGTCTTGCGAGCAGCTTGCGAGCTACATCCTGCTCCTAGGTTCTGCAGTGGTGGAGCTCATGCCAGGGAATCTTCCTCGCTTCGTCATGTGCATGGAGACTTGGGACCACCTCCGAAACCAACGACATAGCATCTATGGTGGTCTTGCATTGCTATCAGGTCAGCATCATGTCTGTGTACCTGGAAACACGAGTTTGGCGGACCATGAAGTGAGGAATTTTCGGGAAGAGCTTATTTACCTTCCGCTTCGTGCCGCTGGGCAGGCAATCCTCCAAGCAGTGGCCATTGTCCGAAAAAGGCTGTCACGATCTTGAGGGAAATCGGTGGCGGATGCTGTGTAGCAGCTGCAACAGTTCCGAAGTCGGTAGCATTGTGGGAGTGCTTCACGGCAGTGAGTATATGAGAGTGTCATTCGCGGAGAAGGCGTCATGAGGGTTCGTGGGAACATAGCGAGTCCTTGAAGTGCACGCAGATTCAAAGAGTCTGTTGATCATGCATTACCCGTGGGTTCGGATCCGCGGACATCATGTATTACCGCCACTCAGGCATGGATGAACAGGCCGTTCGTTCCAGCTACTTGCTGCGCCTTTGGGCTTGTTCCCGAGTCATAGCACACGGTTGTGCGACATTGCGCACCAGAACTTTTGCAGCTTTAGGTGCCCGAGAACATGCTGGCCATCGCAGCGGGCGGAAGGCTTCAGGAGAAAGATCTGCTTGTGAGCTTGAATATTCCGGTGACGCCTCGGCCGTAGGTTCCAACGCAAAGATCGGCTGGTGTTTTGTTTGGCCATGAAAGGAGCCAGCTGCGCACATGAATGGCCACCTCGAGTACACTTACCGCTTCGATTGGCAGCATGCTAAGAGAATGCGGTATGCCCCAATGCTGTTCCATGTGCCACTTGGGCAGCTGGATTGCAGGAAAATGCCTGCACGCTCTCTCACCTTCATTGCCGGAAGGTTTGGTCAAACATCAGGTGGGTTCACGTGTGGTCTCCACACGACTTTTGTCGGAAGCGAGCAGTTTGCCGTTGACATGCACAGCTGTCAGGCAGCTTTGCCAGTTTCTTCGGATTGCATGGGCCCTAATTTGATCAGCAGCCAGCAGCCCTCGGACAGAAGTGCAAGTGTCTGATAAGTACAGCCCCCAACATGCTCAAACATGAAAAGGTTTCCCACCAAAAAGAAAACACAACTAGAACCGCGATGTTAATGAAGGTTGAGCTGGTTTCGGGTTATGACGAGCGCTTGCAGATGCACTGGATTCCCAAACGGTGTTGGATGCCTGCGATTGATTCTCCAGATTTCTACATTAAGCCCGATGTGTTGACCATTTCTGTTTGCTGTACCTCTTAGCTCGCAAGACTTTTGTGTAACATCTGACGCATCATAGCCGGTTCAGGATTGAAACCCACTGAACAACACAAATCTAAACCCGAAATCCAGACACCTCAAAAATCGAGTGTTACACAGCCGAACCCACCCAGCCACGCTGGGCACCGCGCAGAACAGGGATAATTGATTGTCGTCAACTCGCACACCCCGAGCTCGGGATGCTACGATGTAACGATGGTAAAATCGAGGTTTGAAGACGCAGGGTGAAGCATCCGACCCAACAGTTAACGGAGGTTGTGCTCACCGAATGACCATGTCCTGGAATCAAGGACAACAGGAGGTCAAGCTATAAAACCAAAAGGACAACAACAACAACAGCAACAACATTTGTCAGGAAGGCTACAGGAAGGAACGTGAGGCCAAGTGCGCCGGCTCTAATACTCATCACATTAAATCAATGCATCGTGTTATTGAATGCGGTGAACAAGCCATAACTTGCTGCGGCCTGCCGTGGCTCAATGCCACACTGCCCAATTAAGGACGCCTCCGGGCTCCATTCAGAAAGCAGCAGAGGCCGCTTCCGTACGCAGCGAGTGGGATGTACCCGGACGCTGATCTGCTCTCTTGCGCAGGAATTTGCCAGCGGCTCAGCCTGTCTCGGTATCGCGGCAGGAAGGCCTTCGAAGCTGGCACAACTGCAATTGCTGAGTAGGAAGACTCGCTGCAGCCCCTTCACGATGCATTGATGCACATGTTCGAGGATGCAGGGTCCTTGGAAGTGGCCGTGGTGGAGCAATAGCATGTTCCAGAAGACTCCGGCAAGGACGATAAATCGGGACCTGCGGGTGGTCCAGTCTTACAGGCAGCTGATGTCACACTTCGCTCATCAGGTTTCTTGGATTCTTGACGATGTCATGCAAAATGAGTCGCACGGCGCGCTCCAGCTAGCACGATCCAGCATGTGACGATTGTTTACCGACGGGCTCAACAGTTTACGCAAGGTAAGTACGGGCACAGGCGCTTCACTGGATTTTGGTGTTCTTGTACCGCAGGCTCAGGCGGCTCCGTAGGGTGCTAGTCAAGCTGAAGACCTGCAACCCAACGGAAGCAACATTGACATGTCAGAGAGACAGTTTCGGAGCTTGCCAGCATCGAGTTCTGCGTGCCTGTGTGTCCCGGCCAGGTAGTGCTGCTTCCTGCTCGTGTTTGCCCGCAAGGAGGCATAAGGAGGGCACCGATTGCAGGATTTGTGCGAGCTGTCCACGAGCAGGTCGGGGAGTTCTCCGGTCCTTGGCTGCAACTATTGGTGTTGCTTTCTCGTACACCTGGCGCCCTCTGCCTTTGGATGACGTCAGGTTTACAGGGCACCAGTGTGCACCAAGGCTCTTGATCTTGCCTATGTACATGCTTTCAACTGGGAAGGTGGGGAAAGGGTAGCAGATGCTGAAGCGATGCCGGTATACGGCTGGCCTGTGTGCGACAAACTCTTGCAGGCAATGTTATATGCTCTGGAACTGTGCTTGGTGAAGGCCTGCAGGGTTCGACGCGGGATTTCATTGGAGCCCAGAATAGATTTGCAACGGCCATGTTGTGTAACACACCTAGCGTGTGCCAGTGTGTGCAGGGACATGCCGGTCGATCGGGGCAAATGCCGCAGCTATTGCCGGCTTTGCGTGGCCCGACGATTTTCAGCATCCAGTCGAATCTCCTATGTCGTCGTACTCGAAGGCCGATGTGGCGACAGCCGTCGAAATCCTGCGGGCCGGTCTCGGCTGGTGAGGACGTCTCGGCGTACTTGGGCCGTTGGAGTGGCCTCCAACACCAGGCCATCGTCACTGCCGCCAACTCCTCGGCAGGGGCGTTCACCACGCGCCCTGGGCCACCACGGCGTCGGCCCAGCTCCGTCGGCAAAGGGTTGGCCGACGGCAGCCTGGCAGAACTGTGGAGGTGCGGATTTAATGATGTGTGAAGAGGGCGTACCGGCGGAGGATCCCGACAGGTTCAGAGCGAAGCCGTTTGACGAGCAATACACAACTCGTCCCCCTGCCCACGTATACGGCGCATCTTGGCCAGTGGCAGTCGCTATGGTTACATCGTCATCGCGCAAAAAGGGCCGGATGCGCTGAAGGCATTCCCGGCGCAGGCCAGCCTATTGGCCTAGTACTGGCGATGTGACGGACCCGGCGCGATGCGCTTCCATACCATCCCAAGAGAAAGGTCCGTTGGTCGTAGTTTGGAGTTGCGTCGGGAGTCGGGCTTTTCGTGTAACACACGTAGTAGTGTGTGCAGGGACATGCCCGTCGTTCGACGCACATGCCGCAGTTATTGACCGCTTTTCTGCGCCCGATGATTCGCAGCACCCACCCACTCCAGTCGGCTGTTTTAAGTTGTAACGGTTTTGGCATATCAAAAACCACTGGGTCGTCGCTCGGGAGCCGGCGTTGGTCCGGGATGCTGAAAGTCCCTGGCGCCAGCCAGCAGCCTAGTTTGCGACGGATCCGGCGCGATGCGCTTCCATACCATACTAAGGTCCATTGGTCGTAGTGTGGAGTTTCGTCGGGGGTCCGGCTTTTCGTGTAACACACGTAGTAGCTTGTGCAGCGACATGCCTGTCGATCGACGCACATGCCGCAGTTATTGCCCGATTTACGTCGCCCGATGATTCGCTTCCACTCGGCTGTTTTAACCATTTGCATATCAGAATCCACGAGGTCGTCTTTCGGTAGCGGGCGGCGGTCGGGGATGCTGAAAGCGTCCCCGGCGCCGGCCAGCCTAGTGGCCTATCACTGGCGATTGCGACGGAAACGGCGCGATGCGCTCGTCGTGGCGTTTGGGAGTTTTGTGGGGGCTCGGGCTTGTCCGGCCCAGCCTGGAAGGCATGGCTTGGTATATCTGATTGCGCTTAGCCCAGACTGGTGCTCTGTTCGGCGATGTTTTTCACGTCTGCTCACCGGGTGGCTGCGAGGTGCTTTATCTTGGCGAGATCGGTGGCTTTGCAGCGGGTTGGAGCTGTATGTGCTACTCAGCCCACAATTCGGAAACCTCTGTTGCTAGGGCAACATGCCTGGATGAATGCACATTGTGTGGGGACTCCTAGGCTTCAGCATTTGATGCGAGATGCGAGCTCCCCGATTTGGCCTTGCTCTGAAGCTTGGCATACCAGAGCGCAACCTGTGGCATGAGGCTCATGGTCACGCTGCCACTATGCTCCATCTCAGTCACGAACTCGCATGGTTTCGCCGGTTGAGGCTTTTGGCATGTGCTCCCCATGGTGTCTGAGGTTTGCTTTGGAGGCAGAGTGCGGAGGTCCTGCTGGTGTTCGTGAAATTTGCTTCCGATTTGTACGCCAGGGGATTTTGCAGAGCTGCTCAACAACACCCCGAACATGGTGCCGAATCGAGGTCGGATGCGCAACTGACCAGACAACCCCAAGCAAACACCTCTGAAATGGAGGCCACGATGCACAGCTCGCGCTTGGGAGAAGCGTTTGGGTGAGCTGAAGGAGCCTTGTTTCCATCAGAATACTTACGGGTCTGTCTGGCAAGGCTGTGAGATTCTACGAGCCAGCAAAGTACAGCCGCAAAGGTTCTGACTTCTTGCGAAGGCTTGGTGGGGAAGAAGCTCACCTGCTATATTAGGTTATACTGCTATATAACATAGACTACCCCTTAGCTCCCCCAAAGGCCTCACATGTCGAGGTGTTATGGAGCACAAACGACGCGATGAAATGTGGTGTCTTGACTAACTTGTAGACGACGGGCTGTCATTGACGCCAAGCAGTGTCCCCACTGCAGAAGTGGTTTTGCCGTTGCTCACGGCGAGGGGCGAGGGGTTCTGCCGAGCTGTAGAACTAACAATCGCAGAAGTCGAGAGCGACCTTCGCTTTCAGGAGCTCGTGGGCGGCGACCTCGCCATGTACTTTTGGCTCGGACAGCACGGTCCTCGAAGCAGAATTATGCGAATTGGGCCCGGGTGCTAACCTGTGTATGAGTGTGACTGGCTGTTTGTGTCCCTGTCTGTGTGTATGTGTGGGGGTGGAGGTGTGGATGCGTGGGTGTGTGGGGGTGGGGCTGTGAGGGTGTGGGGCTGTGGGGCTGTTGTGTGTGTGTGTGTTGTGTTGTGTGTTGGTTGTGTGTGTGTGTGTGTTGTGTGTGTGTGTGTGTGTGTGTGTTCGTGTGTGTATGTGTGTTCGTGTTTGTGTGTGTGTGTGTGTGTTCGTGTGTCTATGTGTGCTTGTGATGAATGTGAGTGAGTGAGTGCGTGAGTGAGTGATTGAGTGAGTGAGCGTGTGAGTGTGTGTCAGTGTGTGTTTGTGTGAGTGTGTAAGTGAGTAAAAGAGTTAATGAAGTGAGTGAGTGCGCGAGTGAGTGCGCGAGTGAGTGAGTGAGTGAGTGAGTGAGTGAGTGAGTGAGTGAGTGAGTGAGTGCGCGAGTGAGTGCGCGAGTGAGTGAG